GAAGAAGAAGAAGAAGAAGAAGAAGAAGAAGAAGAAGAAGAAGAAGAAGAAGAAGAAGAAGAAGAAGAAGAAGAAGAAGAAAAAGAAGAAGTTGCAGTTTGGGAGTTTGCAGGTTTGTTGTCTCCCAGAAGGTCTCGTAATGCTTCGTGCTGTGGTTTCTCGGTCGTTCCCACGACTGATCCGAATGTCAGTCTGCTCTTATGGGACCGCAATCCCAGCACCGAACCCGCAGCCTGAGGTCCATTTTAACAAGGTAAGTTTGTTTATCTTTCGCTCGATTTCATGAGCCAAATGTTGCGCAATGTGTGCAGAAACGCAACGATAAACTCTGTTTTAAAGTTCACTGCAGGTAAATTTCTGCAGTTCTGAGTTGTCCTGCTAAAACGTGTTTATGTAACGAGGTGTAGTCGACGGTCCAAAATCCAGTTTCACTCGCTGACAGGTGAGGTTAATGGACTTCGCGGACACAGTTTAGCGCCACCTGCCGGAAAGGCGCGCAATCGTTTGTAGGATTGTTTCAATTAATCAATTTAACCAGATAGAGCCCATTGAGATCAAGATCTCTTTTCCAAGGGTGACCTGATCAATAGGTAGGGATGTGGATAAATATTTAATCCTACACCAATATTAAATCTGACAGCGGATTCCAAAAGAACATTTCAAACCACACAAAACACCAAAATCATGTGATTATCTGAAGTATGAGGGAATTTATTGATGTTTGTTTAGGTGAAATCAGCTCATGTTTTGTTGCTGCAGTTCACAGCAGAACCAATGTGACCGTTTCACCTTGATGTTTTCTATTTTTGCTCATAAAATTGAAATTTTATTTCATGTTTATTTTATGTCATGAAATTTTAGGAAAAGATTCCCATTCTAGTTTTTGTAGGAAGCATCTTGTATCCTAAAACACTAATAAAACTTAATAATAGCCAATTCAAAAGTAGCAGAAAAGGTATACAATAACATTACAAGGCAAACTGTAGCATTAAATCAACTTAATGTGTCTTAGAAAGTAAGGAAATTAAAACAATTTAAAAACCATGTYSACATCTGTTTTGTAAACAAAGCTCCTCAACCAATGACAGCGTGTTAAATGTGTCAGGTGACGAAGACGAGCATCAAAACATTTTGCTAACAGGCGCTATTCCGGATTTAAAAAAACATACTCGACGTTTCAAATCATTATCAAATTTGGAAGAAGGGCAGATAAAATGATGTTCTTCATGGCAGCTTATCTCTTTAAGGCAGTGGTCCCCAAACTACGGCCCGCGGGCCAGATCCGTCCCTCCTCCCCATTTGGTCCGGCCCCCAGAGAGCATTTAGTTGTTTATTTTTCTTCATATATGTGTATTTATATTTGATTATGAAGTTGGACTTTTGCAATAAAATGTTCCTTAGTTATGAACTATTTTTATTATTAACTATTATTAACTATTTCATACATACACGCATATAACGTGACATTCTGTTCCACCCTTCTGCGGTCTGTGCCCCTATCTGGCAACGCCCAGAAAAAAAATCCTAAACCTGCCCCTCTCAAAGAGAGAACGGAATAATGACAAAAAGATTAGGTAAGAGAAAAATTGATTCAGAATGCAGGGCATTTAAGCTGCAGTGGACAAATGATTATTTTTTTGTTCATCTGTAAAGAGGCGGTGGTGGTATTCAGAGAATACAATCTGCGGCGACACTATGAATCCCGTCACAAAGACAAGTATGATAGCTTGCAAGGCCAAATGTGAGCAAACAAACTCTCAAAGCTAAAAAGTGGACTGTTAGCTCAGCAGAATACATCCTGTGAAGAACCCAGAGAGGGTTATTTGATTGTGCTTTCTGGAAAGCAATAATTTTTTTACATTTAGGCACTCCTGCAATAGTCACACTTTTTCTGTTACAAACTGACTCTGGCCCCACACCAGAGAAGGGAAAAGTTACGTGGCCCTTACAGGAAAAAGTTTGGGGACCCCTGGTTTAAGGGGTCACTAGAAAAACTCGGGTGATTTACTTTGATCCTCTTTTCAAAAAAATTGTCTCTTTAAAAACGCATCAACAAAAATTAAAAACTCGAAGACGAGGCTGTAGCTAACTACCTGACGTCAGCCCGATTTGTTGAAATTCGTAGAAATAACGAAGCAGGAGGAAATTACAAGCAAACACACCGAGCAGCCTTGCAAAATCTGGTCACAGCAGTTTGGGAAGAAAATGGCAGCAGCTGCTGACGAAATGTCAACATCCCTACAATAGGTCAGCAGTATGGAGGACCAAACCTATCATTATTGGAAATAAATGTATAAATATATAACTGGCGTATTAAAATAAATTWTAGGGTCAAAAAGAAGTTTGACAAATAAATTATTGTGCCATTAAATCAATTACATCAATTATTTAGATATAAATGTG